AAATTAAATCTGATCTGTGATGCGACTGTCGTTCGGCATGCTGCATTGAGCAGCCGCGTTCAGTTTTTAATTGTAGTGTCTGTTCTTTTACTGAACTAAATTATTTTTATTACTATAAAAAATCAAAACGACGGTGGGGGTCGGTGCCGCGGTGGGCAAGTGACATAACCGGTGTTGCGGCTTAACACCGGTATCACCGTCAGCACCGTCTATCGCGGCAAGCCTAGCTGTCATATGCCATAGCTGTGCATAAGGTGTTTATCACAGCTCCAGACTTATTTGTTCATTAATGACATCATCAGCGACTAGTCGACTTCGACTCGACTTTCATCACATAAAAGTTGACTTTAAAAAATCAGAAGTCACTCAACCCCTAGTATTGTTGTAGGTGTACATGTGTGTATGCTGATGTTTGCGCGTGTTGTTTCAGATGATTGGGATGCGGCTGTAGCCAGTCTGCTGCAAGTTTCTCCTCACGTCTCTCAGGCTCTGTGGAGTAACACAGTCCGCTGCTACCTCATATACACACAGGAGACCAGAGCGGAGCTGCAGGCCTTTATACAAGTACACATGCTTAGATACAGCAACACATCTTAAATACACACATTAGCACATTTTAGCACTCTTCATCCATTTGCCTTTCTCTTTCAGACTCATTCTTTGAGGCTGCAGAGGTTTTGTGAGGGTTTGGGTCATTTCTACCTGAACGTGTCATTTCCTGAGGAGAAAGCTGCTCTGTATGCTGCTGAACGCAGGCAGGAGATCGAGAGGAGCTCTGTGTGTGTGCTGCTACTCAAGTCCTCAGTGTCCAGGTGATCTTTCTATCTTACTTTTTATCATGTTATTGTTGATATGAATTACATGTCTCTATTGAATGAATCTGTTGAACTCTATGAAGCTATTTTGCTGTTTTAGTTGTGTTGTAGAGGATGTGGAGGAAGCATTTGTGCAAACCCCAGACTCTCGGCCTCTCTTGCTGTATTTGCGAACTGGTGAGAGAAAAGGAGAAAAGGAAGAGGTCTCCACCCTCAGCCCATCCACTAGAGACTTGCTGGAGAGAGTTAACAAAGCTGACAAGAGTGCCAAACTTAAGGTAATTTCAAATGATTCATATGGGTTTAAAATTCTATTAAAATTCCTGAAGATTCTTCTTTTTGGAAGATCATAAGGGTTTTCAAAGGTTTTTCTAAACGTTCTAAAGGTAATCAAATTTCTTTTAGGAATTCTTCTTTTAAGTTTCTTCTAAGATTCATATATAGCACTTTTAAGTTTCATATATACAGTGCCGTAAAAAGGTTTTTGCCCCCTTCCTGTTTTTTTATTTTTTTTGCACATTTGTCACTTAAAAGATTCAGATCATCAAACAAATTTTAATATTATAAAATTATTTAATATTAGGTAACCCGAGTAAATTAAAATACAGTTTTGAAATAATGATTTCATTTATTAAGGGAAAAAGGCTGTCCAAACCTGCCTGGCCCTACGTGAAAAAGTAATTGCCCCCTAAATCTAATAACTGGTTGTGCCACCCTTTGCAGCAACAACTGCAATCAAGCATTTGCGATAACTGGCAATGAGTCTTTCACATTGCTGTGGAGGAATTTTGGCCCACTCTTCTTTGCAGAATTGTTTTAATTCAGCCACATTGGAGGGTTTTCAAGCATGAAAGGACTCTTTAAGGTCATGCGACAGCATCTCAATCTGGCTTAAGTCCGGACTTTGATTTGGCCATTCCAAAACCTTAATTTTGTTTTCTTGGGCCATTCAGAGGTGGACTTGCTGTTGTGTTTGGGATCATTGTCCTGCTGCATAACCCAAGTCTGCTTGAGCTTGAGGTCACAAACTGACGGCCGGACATTCTCCTTCAGGATTTTCTGATAGAGTGCAGAATTCATGGTTCCATCAATTATGGCAAGTCATCCAGGTCCTCAAGCTGCAAAGCAGCCCCAGACCATCACGGACACTACCACCACCACCATGTTTGACTGTTGGTATGATGTTCTTTTTATGAAATGCTGTGTTGGTTTTACGCCAGATGTAACGGGACACACACCTTCCAAAAAGTTCAACTTTGTCTCATCAGTCCACAGAATATTTGCCCAAAAGTCTTGGAGATAATCAAGATATTTTTTGGCAAATGTGAGACGAGCCTTTGTGTTCTTTTTGGTCAGCAACGGCTTTTGCCTTGGAACTCTCCCATGGATGCCGTTTTTGCCCAGTCTCTTTCTTATTGTTGAATCATGAACACTGACCTTAATTGAGGCAAGTGAGGCCTGCAGTTCTTTAGATGTTGTTCTGGGTTCTTTTATGACCTCCTGGATGAGTCGTCGTTGCACTCTTGGAGTAATTTTGGTAGGCCGGACACTCCTGGGAAGGTTCACCACTGTTCCAAGCTTTCTCCATTTGTGGATAATGGCTCTGACCGTGGTTCGCTGGAGTCCCAAAGCCTTAGAAATGGCTTCATAACCCTTTCCAGACTGATACAGCTTGAGCTTGAGGTCAGAAACTGATGGCCAGACATTCTCCTTCAGGATTTTCTGATAGAGTGCAGAATGCATGGTTCCATCAACTATGGCAAGTCGTCCAGGTCCTGAAGCTGCAAAGCAGCCCCAAACCATCACAATACCACCACCATGTTTGACTGTTGGTATGATGTTCTTTTTATGAAATGCTGTGTTGGTTTTACGCCAGATGAAACGGGACACACACCTTCCAAAAAGTTCAACCTTTGTCTCATCAGTCCACACAATATTTGCCCAAAAGTCTTGGGGATAAACAAGATACTTTTTGGCAAATGTGAGACAAGCCTTTGTGCTCTTTTTGGTCAGCAATGGCTTTTGCCTTGGAACTCTCCCATGGATGCCGTTTTTGCCTAGTCTCTTTCTTATTGTTGAATCATGAACACTGACCTTAATTGAGGCAAGTTAGGCCTGCAGTTCTTTAGATGTTGTTCTGGGTTCTTTTTTTGACCTCCTGGATGAGTCGTCGTTGCGCTCTTGGAGTAATTTTGGTAGGCTGGCCACTCCTGGGAAGGTTCACCACTGTTCCAAGTTTTCTTCATTTGTGGATAATGGCTCTGACCGTGGTTCGCTGGAGTCCCAAAGCCTTAGAAATGGCTTCATAACCCTTTCCAGGCTGATACATGTCAACTATTTTGTTTCTCATCTGTTCTTGAATTTCTTTAGATCGCGGCATGATGTGTTGCTCTTTAAGCATGCTTCACTTTGTCAGACAGGTTCTATTTAAGTGATTTCTTGATTCAACAGGTCTGGCAGTAATCAGGCCTGCGTGTGGCTAGTGAAATTGAACTCAGCTTTCTAAAATAACGTGGTTAATTACAGTTCTTTCATGATTTAACAGGAGGGAGCAATTAATTTTTCACGTAGGGCCAGGCAGGTTTGGACAGCTTTTTTCCCTTAATAAATGAAATCATCATTTAAAAACTGCATTTTGTATTTACTTGCATTATCTTTGTGTAATATTAAAATTTGTTTGATGATCTGAATCTTTTAAGTGTGACCAATATTCAATAAATAAAAAAAACAGGAATGGGGCAAAAAACTTTTCACGGCACTGTAGCACAACTATGGTAGTAATATATAACCCACGCTTTTAAAAAAAGGATTACACCTTGACTGTATTTGGTCATTTTTGACCGTGAATAGTAAGTAAGGTGTTTTTAAGGAAATTATATAAAACTCCCTGAGGTAGTAACAATAACGTAATGCACTTCTGAGATTTTAGGTAATTTATGTTTTATTTAGCTCTTATTTGTTTGAAAATGTCTCTGTTTCACATGTAAAGGCAAACCTTTGGCACTTCACTACATTCATTCCATATAGTCTTATCAGTTTTGAATGCAAACAGCCAATGTGTGATTTTTATGACCACTTAGACTCATCGAATGAATGTCTTTTTGTTTGTTTAGATTGAATATCTAAAAAGTCACCATGTTTTGAACCACTCAGATTAAGGAAACCATTTTTAGAAAAAAAAGAAAGAAAATTAAATTGGTCAAAAATGACCAAGAAACTTAGTTCACTTTCACACTTTATTTTTGGTGAATTATTCTTTGCTGCTTGTTTTCTGCAGGTAGTGGATCATGCTGGGTCTGTAGAGGAAGGAGCTGCTCTTATCTTCACTCAACTTGAAAGAGTTATCAAACAGGTACACACACACACAGGAAAACACAAGCGGGTATTGTGGTTAATAGCATTCTGGTACTTCTCGATCACTTCTCAAGTGATCATGCACTTGAGATACGATGTGGTAAAAATAACCCAGCTATCAAGAGCTTGGTAAATACTGGGCAGCACACGTTATGTTAAACTAACAATGCAAGTAGGGTTGCTTATCATTGCTTAGTATTTTAAAATATTTACAACAAAATAATATATGCAATAGATTTACAGTGAAATTAAATAGGTTTTTAGGTCTATGCAGAAATACAGTAGGAGCAGACTCAATGGACTGTCAAGTGAAAATGACTGTTGACAGTCCAGTTTGGAACAGAAAAACAAGAAGTGGGTAACTGAGATTGCATATATTGTTTCTACTGTTGGTAAAACTGACCCAGCCACTGAAAAAGAAAAAACTGCCTAACACTTTGAAAATAACCCAGCTTTTGTGTAAAAATATAAGCATTGTTTAGAGTGTGGTTCACTATTTAAGGTTCTGTAAGAGGAACCTATTTTCTTGAGGAGATGCATGATGTTAAACAGAAAGGCTGATGATACACGGGGCAACTCTTTCTTCAGGAGTTGTTGGGTTTGGAGTTAGAAGAGAGTGGAGCGGTGGAGGAGAGAGAAGAGGAAGACTCTGGTGATGTGCTGTGGGATCTTCATGATGAGCAGGAGCAGATTGAGGCATTCCAGCAGGCTTGCAGCTCAGCTTCCAGATTCAGCTTCCAGAAGGCATGATGGCTCTGTTATAATTTTCTGTATTGTTCATTATGGACCAAGCATTTTAATTAATGAGTAGGTCCACAAGAAATCTGGGGGGAAAATCAGTGTAATTCCGTGTATTTGACAATAGCTGAAAGTACTACACATACATTGATTGCTAAAATTATTATTAGAGTAAACAAATCTTAAATAAACTGTATACGAATGGCAGGAAATGTGTAAATTCACTGAGCTCAGTGCTGTATTGGTTCTTTTCTCAGTATGTCGACCGACTCAATGACATGGTAGCCGCCCCTCCACCCACCCCACCACTGCTGGTATCTGGTGCACCTGGATCGGGCAAATCACTTCTGCTTGCTAAATGGTTGTTTCGTCTTAACTCTAAATATTAGGTATTTTTGCACAATAATAATATACGTCAATTTTCACACTAAACAATATGTCATTTCTCTGCAGGATAGAGTTACAGCAGAAACACTCTCCCAACACCCTCATCCTGTATCACTTCACGGGACATCCTCTCTCTACCAGCACAGATCCAGTGCTCATCATTAAGCGCCTCACAGTGAAGGTCAGACACAGATACACACACTAATTTCACTCTATTAAGCTCCTTAAACTGTGAAAAGAACAGAGGCAGAGACCAGAATCAGTTATGTTTTAACTAGTGCTTTATTACATGCAGCCTGCACTGTATAGGGCTTCTCATACTGGAAATTGCTATAACATTGTCAGATTTAACCGTAATGTTACCATAATCCTGGGTTGTCTTGCTTTACACTGTTTATACTTTGTCTAGGGTGGTCGAGTTTCAAGATTCTCACTGTATATTTGTAAACCATGGGTTAACATTCTTATATGCATATATACAAGCTTGTCTGTCTGTGAAAATGTTGCCAGTTCTGTCTGTCTTAAGTCTTCTGAAACCCTTCAGTTAACATGTTTGCCATCATTGTTCGACATTCACACTGGTTTCTTAAAAGATCACCCAGGCTGCATTTATTTGATCACAAATACAATAAGAACATTGATATTGTGAAATAGTATTACAATTCTAAAAAAACAGTTTTCTATTTTAATATATTTTAAAATGTTTTAAAATATTTTACTGTTAATTTTAATCAGCTTGTGTGTTCTTTTTTTTTTAATCAAAGTATTAATTTATTTTGAAAACTAAGAAATGAAATCTTACTGACACTAAACTTTTTAACAGTATTGTATTTTAAAGACAACATGTTGTCTGCAATATTAAATAATTGGTTTTTATATTGTTATTGTGTGGAGGCCAAAGCAAAATTATTTCAAAAATAATGTTAAATACAGATTTTGTAAGAAATGTTTTTATTCACTATTAGAGGAATCTTAGATGTATAAGTTTAAGTTAAATAGAAATGTATTTGTGTAGCATTTTTTAACAATAAATATGAGTTCAGTGTGGTTTTACAACTAATCTTAACAGCCCTAAAAATACATAATAATTCATATAAAAACAAAATTCCTCCCTTATATTTTATGCAGAAAACATCCTAGAACCCTAGAAAAACCTAGCCTCCCTAGAAAAAACTTGCATCCCCACTGGGGTCTCTGGACCCCATTTAACCCTAAGTTTGAAGTAGCCTTTATCCAGGGTTAAAAAATTGTTATTCAACTGTTATGCAAAAAGCCCAAAACAGTGAAAGAACTTGTATAATTATAGATTCACGAGGTTTTCTACACATACATCCGTTAATTTTTACAGTGATCCTTTAACTATAAATCAGCACTTGGTAACCTTTTATCACAAATGTTGTCACTCTTATACTACAGATGTGACCTGGCCTGGTTGCATCATCGGCATCACAAGCATTAAGCCCCGTTCACACCAAGAACGATAACTATAAAGATAACTATAAAGATAACGATATTAGCGTCCACACCAGCGAACGATATCGTCTGTTTATTCTAAGCGCACATGCGTCTGCCGCTTTAAATTCTTGAGATCGTTACAGATTTTTAGAACTATATCTTTATCGTTATCTTTATAGTTATCGTGCTTGGTGTGAATGGGCCTTAAGATCTAGACTTCCTGAACTCTAGATGAACTGTTGCCCCCACACGTCATAAGCTCCTTTACACGTACAGTCTTTATTGGTACATTTTCTGGTATGAGAAATTGTAACATTACCAGTATCATGCTATGTGTGAACAGAGAACAGGATTACCTGTATGAAGCACATATTAGAGCAGAACACTGTACTGTAAGAAATCTGCTTTAGGCCAATCATAAAGCATACTGTTTACAGTATGCATCACTGCTTTTTCTATGTAAACACGTGCCAATCCGACGTCTGCGCTCAAGACCCTACCGACCCTAATTTCCGATGATTGACATCACAGAGTTTACCGGTATTTTGGTACTGATGTGTGAATAGTATCTTACTGGTAATAAGAAGGTTACATAAAGGTTACATAAAAGGGTTTTATAGACACAATTCAAGCATAGTTAACTAAACCTAAAACTTTCCTCTGAACAAGTTCTCTTTCCCAATCGTCCTTGTAGCTGCTCCAGCATTTCTGGTCTATTTCCGGCCTCTCGATGGACCCTTCTAAGATCCTCGAAGAGTTCCCACGCTGGCTAGAGCGGCTGTCTGCACGTCACCACGGCAACATCATAATCATCATTGACTCCATTGACCAAATACAGGTAACACTTCCTCAAATAATCTTCCTCATTGAGCTGTGCTATGTTTGTCTGTGCTCATGTTTAACGATGTTGGTGAAGACACACAACTAAACACCCACATTTAGTTGTGGGAGTTAATTAGTAATCGATTTTACATTTTGTCATCAACTGTTTACATAATACAAAAATTTCTTTAATTTCAGCCGAAATTTTCAGCCTTTTTCTATATGGAAAGGGTATTTATATATCTTCCATTAGGAATAAATTAAATAAGAGATATTTGTTAGTGACTAGATATTTGTTTGTCTATGTGTGTACACACACACACACACACACACACACACACACATACACACAGTTAAATGTAGTTTTAAATGACATGTAATCAGATCTCAAAATAAATATCCATTTGTCATAATGTACATTATAATGTTGAGATGCCTAAATTCACTTTAGCATTTAAAATTATTTATTTTAATTTTCTTTTAGTTTATTTTGACAAAATGATATAAAAAATAGTGTAACATTTGAACACTTATCAACCATAAATCAGTTTTAAATTATAGTATAAAATAAATATCAGCTTTTCATTATTAATTATATATTCTTCAGCATGATCAGTTCGTTATTTTTGTATTCCCCAGAATGCTGAGCGGCACATGAAGTGGCTGATTGATCCTCTTCCTGCTAATGTGAGAGTCCTGGTTTCAGTTAATGTGGAGACCTGCCCACAGGCATGGAGGTTTGTGATGCACAAACACACATTATAGCTCATTTCAGTTCAGATATTATGCGTTTAATGTAATATTATACACAGGTGTAAAATTATTTATTTTAATTTAATTTTAGTTTATTTTGACAAAATGATATAGAAAATAGTGTAACATTTTAACACTTATCAACCATAAATCAGTTTTAAACTATAGTATAAAATAAATATCAGCTTTTCATTATTAATTATATATTCTTCAGCATGATCAGTTTGTTATTTTTGTATTCCCCAGAATGCTGAGCGGCACATGAAGTGGCTGATTGATCCTCTTCCTGCTAATGTGAGAGTCCTGGTGTCAGTTAATGTGGAGACCTGCCCACAGGCATGGAGGTTTGTGATGCACAAACACACATTATAGCTCATTTCAGTTCAGATATTATGCGTTTAATGTAATATTATACACAGGTAGACAAGCACAAAACATATTATGCTATTTAGATTGTGGCCCACGCTGCACCTGGACCCACTCAATCCCGTTTGTAACAATTCTGTTAAGTGACAAGGCGGGGATGGTTTTTGGCCTACAGTAATCTTAAAACAGCCAAATTCCAATCCAATTATTGTCTCTCTTTAGCACACACTTTGTCTGTTTGTATGGGAAAATAAGATTTTTATGTTTAATCTGTCAGCTCTAGATCTTCCTGGACATTGGAGAGGACTCTACAGCAGTGTGCGTTGTGTCAAGATACAGTATCGCTATACAGACTGGGCCTGAAGTCGGCGCTTGATTCACTCAGCACGGATCAGGAAAAACACATCATGAAAGAGGTCACCTGTCCAAACTTACCTATTCGAAGAAGAGTATCACAAAAAAAAACACTAAAGTACACCGTTTAACTTATTTATTTGTATTTCTCCTTGTGCAGTTATTGTGCTTGGTATGTGCCAGTCACAACGGCATTAGTGAATCAGAGGCTTTGGAGCTGTTCCCAGACCTGAGTTTTCCCGCTCTCACCTCACTGCTCCACAATCTGGAGAGACTCCTCATCATTACCTACGCCTGTGGCCTCATTCGCTTTCAGCACCCACAGGTGTGTATGTCTCTGACCTAGCTGTACCTTTGAAGTTATATTTGGCAAAATGTCCCTTAAAGGGTTAGTTCACCCCAAAATGAAAATTCTGTCATTAATTACTCACCCTCATGTCATTCAAAACCCGTAAGACCTTTGTTCATCTTCAGAACACAAATTAAGATATTTTTGATGGAATCTGAGAGCTCTCTGACCCTCCATAGACAGCAACGCAACTGAAATGTTCCAAGAAACAGAAATGTAGCAAGGACATCAGTAAAACAGTCCATGTGACATCAGTGGTTCAACCTTAATTTTATGAAGCTACGAGAATACTCTTTGTGCGCAAAGAAAACAAAAATAACATAATTTATTTAACAACTCTTCTCCCCCGAGTTACGTCTTCTGCCATTTTTGAGAGTACCCAAGAACGTAATCGGCGTTTATGTTAGGGGGGAAAGCGCGCAAATGAACGTAATCGGCGTAATCAGCGTTGTTTACACAGGGTAAATCGTGCGTATGCGTTGTGATACTCTCCAAAATGGCGGAAGAAACTTGGGGGAGAATAATTGTTGAATAAAGTCGTAATTTTTGTTTTCTTTGCGCACAAAAAGTATTCTCGTAGCTTCGCAAAATTGAAGTTGAACCACTGATGTCACATGGACTGTTTTACCGATGTCCTTGCTACGTTTCTGTCTGGGAACATTTCAGTTGCGTTGCTGTCTATGGACGGTCAGAGAGCTCTCGGATTTCATCAAAAATATCTTAATTTGTGTTCTGAAGATGGAGGTCTTATGGGTTTGGAACGACATGAGGGTGAGTAATTAATGACAGAATTTTCCTTTTGGGGTGAACTAACCCTTTAATGTTTTTTGATGAAACTAAATATGGTACTTTGTTGGGTGAATATTTCACTTTCACATCTCACTGACAGAGAATTAACAGAGGTAAATTAAAGCGAAACTGGTTTGTGTAACCATGTCTCATTTCCAGGCATGTGAAGCGGTCAACCAAGAGTTTCTGGATGGGGGCAAATGTCGTGGATCCTACAGCGAGAAAATCATTCGGTTCTTCAGTGAACAGCTGAAGTAAGAATAACTTATTGAGCATATTGCAGATTTTTCTGTATTTATATGTATTTTTGTGTTTTTTTTCTGACCTGGGAAGAGAATTGTGTAAATCTGAGGGAAAAACTTACTGTGATTTCAAGGCTGTGGGCAGAACACCCTTAGCATCTCTGTGAAAATTAACACTCGCCAAGCGCCAAATGCGGGTAAAATTGGTGTTGGCGAGTAGATGAAATGATGATACTCTCTGGCTCCTACATGTTTCAGAGTAAAGCGATACGGTGTTCATTTTCACATGAGCAGCTCATGATCTGGTGTTTTCAGTATCTCAGTTTAGTTCAGTTCACAGTAAATATGCTGCTACACACAAATTCTTTTTATTTTATTTTATTTTATTTTTTTATTGCAGTACAATGGTATTATTGTAATAGTAATATTTTTTAATTTATTTAGTATTTATTTTTACAATTTAAATAATAAAATAAAATATTAGTAGTAGTAATATATCATTCTTCTTCTTATTATTATTATTATTATTATTGTTGTTGTTGTATTTTCATTTTGTCCTTAGCTGATCACATGTCTGATATTCTCTAAGATCAAAGCATTTATCGACAAATAGCTGCGATGTTGGATTGTTTTGTTAAATCATTTTTGTTGGTTCAGGCAAGACAGAGTGACGTGGAGGGTGGCTGATGAATTGCCGTGGTTACTGCAGCAGCAGGAAGATCGAAGTAAACTCCAGATGAGTTTGCTTAACTTGTTTGTGTCCCAGAACCTGTACAAGAGGTACATTCTTACATTCCTGCTGTATCTGATTTATGTGTGAATATATGTTTGAAATAACGTCTTGCTGCTGATGTGTGTTCTTAGGGGTCATTTCTCTGAGCTGCTGACATACTGGCAGTTTGTTGGTAAGGATAAGTGCTCAATGGCGACAGAGTATTTTGACTCATTGAAAGAGTTTGAGAAGACCTGTGAGAGTGAGCAGAGCATGAGCCGACTGGCCAACCTGTACGAGACACTGGGCCGCTTCCTCAAAGACCTGGGACTGCTCAGCCAGGTGATAGACGGAAAGACTGATGATCACCTGTATTCCATTTTAAAGTGTGTGGAAATGACGTGAATGTGTTGTATTTAAGGCGGTGGCCCCCTTGCAGCGCTCCTTAGAGATCCGTGAGACGGCTCTGGATCCAGACCACCCAAGTGTGGCTCAGTCCCTGCACCAGCTGGCGGGGGTTTACGTTCATTGGAGGAAATTTGGAAACGCAGAGCAGTTGTACAAACAAGCTATGGAGATTTGTGAAAACGCTTACGGCCCTGAACACAGCACTGTCGCTAGAGAACTAGACTCACTCTCGCTCCTGTACCAGAAACAAAACAAGTACAGCACATTTTTCTTAAAATTCATACTCCACTATGCAGATATTGCAGAGGCTTTGTTCCAAATCCTAATGAGCTGCCTTCTGAGGCAGAACCCATCCCAAAGAACTAAACTAAAACCCTCTACATAATGCAGCAAACTAGTAAACATGGAAATATCTGGAAATTGTTAGTCTTGACAGTCAAATAAGCATAAGAATCATAACACGCAAATATTAGATGAAATGTTTTTTTAAATATATACAATTGTATTTTATTGGTCATTTTCTATTTTGGGGTTTGGGGTGAGAAATTTTAAGAATTTAAGATGTTTGTTTTCTATTTGAATATATTTAACATGTAATTTATTTCTGTGATGGTGAAGCTGAATTTATATATATATATATATATATATATATAAAACTTACTGACCCCCATTTTTTTTTAATTGCAGTGCATTCTGGGATTGCCTTAGATTTCACACATGATGCTACCTTTGGTTTTAGTCAAAATGGCAGCATAATTTTACAACCAGACATCCTTCATTTTAGGAAACAAATCCTAGGCAGCTTTCTAGGATTTGGAAAAGATACCTTTAGACCTTTTCTTTATGATTTATGATGTTATTAATTTAGAGTTAGGGCTGGGCTAATTCTGTTTTTTGTTTTGTTTTATCTAGATATGAGCAGGCCGAGAAGTTGAGAAAGAGATCAGTCAAGATCAGACAGAAGACAGCACGACAGAAAGGCCACATGGTTAGGAAAGACCAAACAATAATTTTAGCCACATTTGTGTCTCATTTAGTCCCACTCAATGAACTGTGAGTTCAGAGTAGTGGGGGAAAAAACAGTATATCTTATACTGAATGTGCTTGTGTTCTTTTTAGTATGGTTTTGCTCTCTTGAAGCGGCGGGCACTGCAGTTAGAGGAACTTACTCTTGGCAAAGACTCAGCAGATTGTGCCAAGACTCTAAATGAGCTTGGAGTGCTTTATTACCTGCAGAACAACCTGGAGTGAGTAAATCATCATTTCATACATACCACACATCCTGAAAATTTTGGAATTGTGCAATGCAGATTTTCAGTCATGAATGCAGATTTTGAGTATTGTTGAATGCATTTTTACTGAATATTTTGGATATATTTCCAGGCTGTTCAAAGCTGTTGTGGAAAAAAAACAAAACACTTTTCACAGTATTTGCACAGTATTCCCTTCTTCCCCGTGACTGGGTTCAGCTGGGTCTATTTCTTCTATATGCCTGTCATGGGAGTTACTTTCTTTGCCACTTAGTAGCATCTTAACAGTCATGTCTTGGCCCCACATGATGTATATTGGTTTTCCAATGAGCTCCAAAAAATTAAGAGCCTCTGGGGCATTTTCTTCATCATGGTGATGTTCAAAGGTAACATAACCATACCCGAGAGACAGGTTGGTTCTTCTGTCTCTGCACATTTTCAGTGTACAGATGGAGCCAAATGGGAGCTCACAGCTCCTGTTTGGTCACATCAGGGTGCAGATTACTCACAATCAATGACCTTGATATATCAGAGCTGCTCTCCTTTTCTTTGTGTTTGCATTTCCCCTTGCAGACCTCTCTGCAAGGCAGGGCTTCCTCAAAAGTTTGAGATGGTGTCATATATATCAAACCTGCACTGTGCCTTGCTAGGACTTTAATAGTCATGTTTAT